AGTAGATATGAAATTCATGTTTTGTTTTATAAACTTGAAGTATAATTTTTCGTAGATACGAAATTCTTGTTCCCTTATAGGTCATAGGGTATGGATTTAGAGGAGTTTAAATGGTGCGACATGAGATAGCGAGGATTTTGTAGATTTCAACTAGCTTAGGAACCGAGACATGGTTGTTGTCTATTTGAATCATCATAGAGGATTTTGTGAGGTAGGATGTGATTCATATTCATTCTTCTGGTTAAAGACTATGTTATATAGGTTGAAAAAAACTTCAGTTGAGTTAACATTTTTATTGATTGGTTAAAAGATGGCAACTCTTGAATTTTTGTATATAAAAATAAAAGCTGACTTGCTAAGAGCAATAGATTTTGATGTAAGATAAACTAACTATTAAAGCATTGAGATGTCATTTGCATAAGTTACTACTTTTGGAAGGCCAACCATTGAAATGTTGATTGCATATATATGCTTCTACTTCCTGTTTCTAATTCTATAAGCTAGTTACATTCTTCCCAAAATCTACTACTATATGTTATTGAAGCATGCTATTGTTCATTTGTAACAAGAAAATAGCTATAGGCATTTTAAAAAAATAGAGCAGAGGTCATTAGACTTGTCCATTATAAAGAGGTAGTAGGGCAACCATTCTGTGATTAAGTTTGACCTATAATAATTGGTCACAGCTTATAACAAGCCAAACCTCCGTCGGAATGAACTTTTGAAAGCCATAGATTATATAGAGCATAGAAAGGTTTGAAAGATCTTAAGAAGGGCTCTATTTTTGTGATTTAAATAAATACCAACACTTTGTTAATTTGTTTTCTTGTAACTTAGCTAATGCATCAACATGTTTTCTAGTAATTGGTTACAAGAAGGCTTCATCAATTCTATCAACTACCTTTCTGATAATAAGAAAGGCTTTAACAATTCTCTTATTGGCCTTTAAGTTAACCAAGATTATTAGAGTCCATTATTCAAATGGTCACTCAACTATCCTAAATTATCTCCTATGTTTGTAACAACAAAGTCACGGAACTATGCTTATTGCTCTCAGAAGGCCACTCAACTAGATTTTTCAAATTTTGGATTGCCAAATACTTATTTTACCCTCTAAATTATAAACATTTATCTTCTTTTTATTTTTTTTAAAAAACTTTTTAATATTATCATTTTTCCCTTTTTAACTTACATTATGGACTTATCTATAGAATAAATAAATATTATTTATAAATTAAAAAAAATAAAAAATATTTAAGCATAAATAATGTTGGAATAACAAAATAATGAGCATAGTAAAAAATGAATTAGAATAATTTATTAGTAATAATAATTTTTGTATTAACAACAAAAATTCAAAAATTTATTTACATAATTCAGAATAAAGGAAAATAAAGGTTGTAAAATATATATTCCATGCACGTAATATAAAAATAATTATTTGAATGAAGGTATTTTTATAATATACATTATATATTCTTGAAATTATGCTCAATTATATTATATATATATATATATATATATATATATATATATATATATATATATATATATATATATACACACACACATACCATGCACGGCTTAACATATCATATTTTACCTTATATACAGATAGTCCCCCTGCTTTCCAGTGGCATAACTTTGTGTCGTCGGAAAGTTGGTAGAAGCATAATAATATAATTGCGTGTAATTTTCAAGAATATATAATGTATATTATAAAAATACCTTTATTTAAATAATTATTTTTATATTACGTGCATGGAATATATATTTTACAACCTTTATTTTCTTTCATTCTTAATTGTGTAAATAAATATTTGAATTTTTTTTGTTAATACTAAAAAGTTTTTAAAAAAAAATAAAAAGAAGATAAATGTTTATAATTTAGAGGGTAAAATAGGTATTTAACAATCCAAAATTTGAAAAATCTAGTTGAGTGACCTTCTGAGTGCAATAGGCATAGTTCAGTGACTTTGTTGTTACAAACGAAAAAAAAGTGACTTTAGGAGATAATTTGAGATAGTTGAGTGACCATTTGAGTAATTGACTCAAGATTATTAATATCCATTCCTTCACAGATGCCAGTAGGACAAATTCATTTATATCCAACAAATACTCAGCAATGTAAACTCCACTATAACAAGGGGAATGACAAACAAAAGATCATGAAGAAATGAATTCTTATGGCTCATACCAGAGTAGTCAGGAATTAACTGGAGATGGAGCTCATGTCTTCATATTTATAACATCAGACTCTTTTATAACGTCGGAATTTGCTTCTGATTTGATCGTTTTCTTCCTCCAATTGGGTGGATAACCAACATTCTCAAAGCATTATTTGTCCCTCTGATGCCCAATTTTCTTGCGGTGTTCACACCTTGGTCTATCTCTCTTTGGCTGATATTTCCTTACCTTCTATTGACTGTGCCTTGCTAGAACCAAGGGTCTATCGGAAATAACCTCTCTACCCGTGCAAGGTAGGGGTAAGGCTGCGTACACATTATTTTCCCCTGACCTCACTTGTGGAATTACACTGGGTTTGTTTTTGTTGTTATTGTTGTTCCTTAGCTTCTTCCGGAAGCTGGACATCCTTGCCGAGGTTGCACTGTCTAGCAGTACCGATGATAGAGTTCACTATCTGAGGGCCGCAACCTGTGTCCTTCAGTGATTGGTACGACGAAATGAGCTCACTTAGCTGCTTTAGACCTTTGTAGAGTCCAGCATTTTATGCTGATAAAGATGTTGAAATAGTCATGTCAACAATTTATGGAACTTATGTACTATTGGAAGCTATCAGAATCCAAGTAATAGCAGAAGGGACTGTTATAAAAATCAAGATAATGCTTTTAATCTATATACCTATGGTCAAAAGTTTCACTTTGTCCAGGAGAGGGGTTCATGTTAATCATATTTGCAAGTAGTTGACCATGATCTACATTAAATGAATCAGTTAAGGAACATACAAGCACGATTAAAGCTATTGATTAGCTTTTCCTTGTGATTTTTGTAACCACCAAAAGTGTACATGCTTCTACAATATTAACCACACCATTTTTAACACTTATCTCATACATAACTGGAAGAGAAAAAAAATTATTTTTAGCCTCCTAAACAGCTCTTCGTTTTTCCAACCCAATATGTAAAGTGCAAGAAAGAAATAAAGAAAGTCATTATTTGTAGACCACTAGAAGAGATTACAGAGAATATATATCAAACATAAAAGCATAAAGTGAATGAATATTTGCAAGTAGGAGATACCTTTGATTTTCTAATACAACATAGCCTACTTTGACAGTGGCAAAGGCCTGAGTATTTTCTGGTAGAATTCTGCCAACTTCTGGGGTTGTGTGTGTGAATAATCCATTGCCAATAGCAGCACATTGGAATTGCTTGGATGATTTTGAGTAAGTTGGATTGGTTTTCTTGGGAATAAATGCATGAAGAAAGTACTGTTTTTTGAGAAATGGATGAAAGTTCTACTTTTGCTTGTAAAGATTCCGAGTTTTCAGTTTGTCTCTCAGTGAAAAAGAGATGATAGTTTTTCATTTGAATATTAATGGGTCCAGTTAAATCAACACAAACAAGATGACAATAAAAGAAAAGAAAGAATACAAAAAGAGCTAATGCTTATGGTGAATAACTTAAAAATTTAACTGGCAAATGTTTAGATTAAACATGTGGCAATAACATGGGTAACTTTTTGAAGTTGGTCACCGAAACTTAAGGGTAAGTTTTACACGGTGGTGGTCAAATCAACGTTGTTGTATGTGGCAGAGTATTGGCCAGTCAAGATTGCTCATGCCCAGAAGATGAAAGTAGCAGAGATGAAGATGTTGCGATCGATGTGCGGCCACACCAGGTTAGATAGGATCAAAAATAAGGTTATTTGCGACAAGGTGGGTGTGGCCCCTATTGAGGACAAGATGCGGGAAGCGCGATTTAGGTGGTTTGGTCATGTGAGGAGCAGGAGCACACATGTCCGGTGAGGAAGTGTGAGAGGTTGACATTAGAGGGCCTACAGAAAGGTAGAGGTAGGCCAAAGAAGAGGTGGGGAGAGGTGATTAGGCAAGACATGGCACAACTTGAGCTGACCGAGAACATGATCCTTGATAGGAAGTTATGGAGGTCAAGGATTAGGGTAGTAGAGTAGGTAGTCTAGAGTGTTCATAACAGTAAGATTGGCATGTAGTCTAGCTTTCTGTTGGTAGTAGGTTTTTATGACTAGCCGGTGGTTTCTTTTATTGTTTATCACCTTACTATCTTGTTGTTTTTATTCTGCTTATATATGGCTTTTTGGTACTATCTCTTCTTGTATATATTTTCATTAAGGTGGTGCTTATACATTCCTTAGCCGAGGATCTATTGGAAACAACCTCTCTATCCTCACAAGGTAGGGGTAAGGTCTGCATGCACACTACCCTTCCCAGGTAGGATCATACTGGGTTCGTTGTTTTTGCATCGCAAAACGAAAATCTGAAATGAGTTGTTGGAAGTTGTCTCTTTGTAATCGTTCTTTCCTTTTCTTGCCTATTCTGTACCACAGTCAACCGAAATTATTGTAATTGACAACAGTTCTTTCTTCATTTTCTTTAACTTAAAAAATATAACTGGAAAACTTGTTACAGTTGAGAATGTTAAGCCGCAAAACAGGCTGCAACCTTTTAATTTCTTCAGAATCAACCAAATCAAACCAAAGTTCTGAGGGCAGATATTCGGAAATAAAAAGGAGTCGCGGGGGAGAAAAGAACAGAAATTCCCCAAACCAGTCTTTACAGATCGAAGCAGCACTCCGCAACACCAAGCCATGATAATCCATGCGTCTTGACAACTAATTTTACTCGCAACAGCACTTGTAGCTAAAGCTATACCTTCATAACTAACCCAAAGCCTTATTCTTACCATTGGATCCAAAATGGTGCCGTCATAAAAATGGTGACAATTATCACTTGAAGCAGGGAAATGGTATAGCTGTGCATCACACTTGAGGCGAAATGATATAATGAAACAACTAAGAAAACTTATAAATAATTAATGTGCATTCCCCATTGAAAAATGGCTAATCAAAATTGAACTTGCAGCCAGGGCTACTAGAGCAACCTTTCCCATATGTAAAAAGTGTCTGAGAAACACTGCAATGTAGCTTAGGCGCTAAACCAAAACTGAAGGGCATGAAATGTTTAAAAAGTTGGCCAAAGAACATACTCAACCTTTTTGTAACATACCCCACTCACAAAACAGATTGAAAAATCAAAAAGAATATGGCAGAAGATAATCTTTCTGTGACACTGTACCCAAGGCATCAGCCGAGTAGCCAACTATACCGTAACATGGTGTACTGATATATTTATAGAAATGGGAACCTCGGCATAATCTTAAAACCCCTACCTACATCTTTCAGTTTTTCCCTGCTCCTCCGGGCTCTAGTAACAAATGATTCTTTAGTTGACATACTGGTGAATTGAGATCAAAAAGTGATTTGTGTTTCAATACAGCAGTCGGATGTTTTTCAAAACTAATCAGCAGGATCATGCTCAGTCTTCGTTGTCCGAGAGCAAGCAGTCTTCTATTTGCTCCCTGAAAACAAGGCAATTAAACTTGAAATATGTGTCGTAAGTTTTAAACTAGGACTAGCAACGGAGATAAAGCTTTCATTAATACAAATTAAAAGAACTAGCTCCAGAAACATCTCTAAAGTTGAAATGTTGAACCCTGGGCAGCCCAAAGAAGAAAACAGAGGACACTATTCTATAAGAAACAACAGTGAAATTGCAAGGAAAATCTTGAAAGGAGCAGAAATGGAAGCTAATTTCAAAAGGCATCGTCCATCTAAAGATCCATGACACCGCCTCTGTAAATTCAAACCATCTGCAGCTACAGAATGGTTTTCCAAAAGCAAGCTAATGTGTCAGAAATAAAAACATCAAATAAAATTTCACACCTTAGCTGTCTCTGACTTAGATGATCACCATCCTCTGCGTGGGAAACCATTGATGGTGGCAAGAGAGAAATGAAGTGCTCCAGAGATGAGGGGTCCTCGGGAAGAACCTGAAACTGACAACTTGCACAGCATGCAGCACCCCTCGCATTGAGACTAGTTTTCGCATTGTCAAAACTGATTGATGTTACAAAGGTGGATATTTTTAGAGGACTACTGCAAATACGACAGAATGACTCGGGAGGAAGGGCATCGTTAGTTTTCAGGCTGTATTTCTTTTGCCTCCTTTGAGATGCCACCTGATCATTATAGTTATTGTCCTCTGACATTCTATTGAAATGAAAAGGTGTCAGCTTTCCAGCTGTTCTCATGATTGTGCTTTCCCGGGAAGGGTTTTCCTCCTGAAAAGTAAAAGTTACTTTGAATTTTTCATGCGCAAGGCTTTCAAGTTGCAGTATTCATGACTAGAACAACAAACATATAGGATAACTGAATAGAGGCAGTTTTCACAATAACAAGTTAGGAGCTCTTTAATAAAGTAATTTCTTTTCCCTAATATTTTTCCTTCTTGTTAAAGTAACCAGCAATTACTACAACAATAACCATGAACCAAGATTCAAGTTCTAAAAGCATGTGTCTCGGCATGCTGAATATGTTTCAACTACTGTGTGCATTGTTATATTACAATATTCCAATTTTTAATTTCTTATATATCTACAATCTTTTCTAGCATTAAATGCCACTTGCACTGTACATGGGACCACATCAACTTAAATTAAGCCAATACAGTTAACCTGCTTTTACCTGCAACAATTTTACAAATGAGGAGACCAAGCCATTGATATATTACAGTAGCTGAATATATTTCAGCTACTATGTGCATTGTTATATTACAATATTCCAATTTTTAATTTCTTATACATCTACAATCTTTTCCTTGCATTAAATGCCACTTGCACTGTACATGGGACCACATCAACTTAAATTAAACCAATACAGTTAACCTGCTTTTACCTGCAACAATTTTACAAATGAGGAGACCAAGCCATTGATACCAGATTGTGTTCCGTTAAAAACTTCTACAATCATCAAACTGCCCTCGCAAAGTACGTTAAGCCCCACCATGAAGTAATGGTTTTGACACACAAGAAAAGGGCAAAATGAAATGAAATAATCAGATTCAGAAATTACACGAGATTGTGATAAAAATAGGATATGCTAAACCAGAATTAAATTTGTTTTAAATTTCAAGTGCAACAAACCTGTCAAGGCTGCAAAGAGTATTCAACTCATGAATAAGACAATCACGTAGGGGAAGAACCACAGGTATCTTCCACCTTGCATCAACATACTGGATATCAGCAGCCAAAGAGTAACCTCTGCCCTGGAGAAAACCAAAACCTTAAGCACATTAGATAGTTTTCACTCTTTCTTTTTGTTCATCACTCTTCTGTTCAAGTGGGTAACCAAAAATATGAGAGATGACATTGAAAATTCTAGATAGGTGATTAGTCTAGATACATAGTTACTAGCTCTAAAGTTGATCTTCTATAAAATAACTAACATGGATTATGATCATTGAAATGAGTAATAAAAAATATAGATCAAATCAGATAAAATAATCCACACTAAAAAGATAATGAAAGTGATGGGATTTTGGTTAATCCAAGAAAGATGACCTGAGAGAAATATACAAGAGAACTTCATACAAACGCCTATATTTAAGTGGAGAAGGGTAGAGGGGAGGGTCCATTATCTACCGAGTTTCAAACCGTGCGCTGTTGGCCCTCAGTTATCCAAAAAAAAAAGCTCGTAAGTATCAAAATTCATAAGCAATGCTGTTAACTTTTTTTTTAAAAAGAAAACCTCTTCGGCATGAATCATGGATAATCACATTTTTTAGTTTTAATCTCTTCATCTATCTGGAAGAGGATGGACCACATCTAGAAACTTCATACTTCCATTCTTCTCTTAAAATCTACTCCATCCCTTTCATTGTTTCCATTTGGATCATGTCATATTGAAGTCCAAAGTTCCAAACTTTTTCAGTTTACCAGAGGACAAGCTTTCTTTTTCATGCATCCATGTGAATAAACATTTTCAGTTTTTCCGCAGAAGAAGAGAGGGACTGATTCATAGAACCTACCTTGACAGTTGCTTCAAGTACATGACAAGCTATTCTTGATGTACACGTTCCTAGCAAAACTTTGGTATATCCATGCTCAACAGCTATCTGCATAGTAAAGCAACATACGTAAATCGGGATCTATGTTTCTCCTGCAAAGCTCAAGATCGTGATTATGTAAAGCCGCCAAACCTTTTGCAGGGAGAGCATGCGAAGATGCTCTAACAGATCTTCTTTTCCTGTGACATCACTAACAGCATTTATTAATTCATTAAGTCTATCTTTTGCATCACCAGCTTTCAGCGAATAAATGGCCTCTGCTGGAACTACATGGAATTGTTTCACTGGTGGAGCCAAATCTGACAAGATAAGTTTCATCTTTTCAATAGCTCTATCAAGGTCATCAGATGAGACAGCAGAAATGGCTTTTTCATCAATAAAAGCAACCCCAACACCAAAGACTGGTAATGCTCTATCTGGACTGGCATCATAGTTCTTCTGAGCTTTACTTTGCATCTCATGTGTAAACTGCAGAGCCACCCTAGAAGATAAAAGAATTTGCACATAAAAGTAAAACATCATGGTATCACATACCTTTTACCCAAGACTTGCATTCTACTCAACATCCTTTTAAGTCATAACAAGCAGCAGCCTGGCTTAACTTAACTGCAATGATATACACCATGTTGACACACTTTGAAGTTACATTCAACTCCAAGAACACGTAAATGTTGTGCTCATCAATCTAGAGAAATTACAACATGCTATTGTTTCTAGAAGACCTACTTTCAACCATTTTTTTGATAAGGTAAATTGTATTAATCAAAAGGGAGAAAAAATTCCCATATACAAGAAGTATACCAAAAAGTAGAGAATTTACATCAAAACATGATTATCTACAAAAGACGCCCAATCTTCTATACAAGTAGGGGTTATATGAGTGCACCAAAAAGCGATCAAAGATAAAAGACTATTCTTAAGATGTGAAAAAGGAGACCCAATCCCCTCAAAAGCTCTCCTATTTCTCTCCCCCCAAACTATCCACATGAGAGCTAACGGAGCGAACTTCCACGCCTTTTGCTTTCTTCTTCTACGGAAACCGGCCCAGCTATATAACATTTCCTTTATAGTGCTTGGCATCACCCATTGAACACCAAAAAGATACGGGATTGCCCTCCACAAACCCGAGGACACAGGGCAATGCAACAAAAGATGATCAACTTCTTCCCCTGAGCTTTTACACATATAGCACCAACTGACAAGTGTAATTCCTCTCTTTCGTAGATTTTCAGCAGTCAAGATCAGTCCCCTCGCCGCTAGCCATGCAAAAAAGCACACCTTCGTGGGCGCCTTAGGAATCCAGATCGAGGAGTATGGAAAAGTGGCCTCCTCTCTCACCAACATACTCTGGTAAAACGGTGAACAAACCATCGCCACGCAACCCCCATCTCCAAGAATCAGACCTACTTTTAACCATTTCTTTTAATTAGCAAGTGTTAACAGTATGTTTCTCTATCTTTAGTCTTCCATAAAACTCGCTAAATTTAAAAACTTAATAAACGATTATAGTAAGTTTACAGATACACACACTCAACAACAACAACCCAGTATAATCTCACTAGTGGGGTCTGGGGAGGGTAGTGTGTACGCAGACCTTACCCCTACCCTGGGGTAGAGAGGCTGTTTCTAATAGACCCTCGGCATCCTTCCCTCCAAGAACTTCCCACCTTGCTCTTGGGGTGACTCGGACTCACAACCTCTTGGTTGGAAGTGGAGGGTTCTTACCATCTGAGCAACCCACCTTGAGTGATACACACACTCACACGTGCATATGTCTGTGCACGCGCGTCAGTGCATAACCTGGAATTTAAGATTTATCTGCAAATGGAAGGTCAATTTTAAGATGTTGAAAGAGGTTCCAGTTTATTTACAAATTTAGTGAACTATCGAACATCCAATATTTGTTGCCTCCTCAATTTCAACTACAATCCAACATCCAACATCCAATATAAGAGGATAGCAATCAACAGAGTAGGAAGAGGGCGGGGAACACTTCAAGAACCAAAGAACACATTAAAGTCCATAGAATACACTGCATAGAAAACAGAGTTACACAAGGTAATAACTTTAACACAGACAACTCACGAGCACAAGCCCTAAGTACAAAGTTTTTGTCTTTAACGCAAATATGAGGTGGATAACCAGAAAATGGATTTTCTGGAAATACGACTAGGAAATTTGGTCCTTATCTCTAAATAAGGAGATTCATACTCGCCACACAAAGATGTATCCCCATCAATTGAGTCCAAACTCTACACTTAGTTAGCAAGATGAAAGCTCAGTGATCACACCCTTTTTACTAAAGTTCCCTCATATGCTTGGAAAGTTCCCAAAACTTTGACAATTAAATTGTATGGGAACACATTTCAAACTGAGGAACATGACAGATGTCAACTGTTCTTATACTAATTGTTTAGAATTAAATAGACACAAATAAGTGGAATACATAGAGACTGATAAAAAGAAACATGAGAATTTTTTTTTATTATATTTTATGACGGTGGTATCCACGCTTTGTTCGCACCTCGACTACTCCACCGGGTACCTGCTACCGCCCACCACTACATGTACGGGTAACTCTGTTAACCAAAGCTGAGGCAGATGAGAAGAAATCACCTAGCACACCATTGGGTGCAAGCAGGGCATATTTAGACAATTCATATCACCGATCCCAACTAGTTTGGCATTAAGGCCGTTGATTGACTATTTCTTTCAATGAACAAACCTAGACCGAAAAGAGTCTTTTCTACAACATCAGCATATTTTCAAACAAATAAACTGATTAATCAGGAACCAAAAATCAGTAGGAAACAACATTTAATCAAAATTATAAACCCTAAACCCTAGATACAATCTCAACAAGCAAATAACTTTGGAAATTAAGAATACAATTTACACATGAATATGAAGACATAAGATGAACCTGGAACATGTACCGCCGGAGAAAGCCACAAGGACATTATCCAACGGCGAAATCATAGCATTAGATGTGACAGCAAATCTGAACTTCCCATAGAGATTACTGCGGAAGCAATCTGCACAGAACCTTCCGCTATCTTCACCGCTGAAGTCACCGCCGTCCTCGGCGGAGGCAGCGGCGGCTATGGTTTTGTTAACCTTGCATTTAACACAGACGGCGATAGATAATAGTTCGGTGCTCTTTCTACCGTTAGCGACGACATTTGGAGCTTCATTTGCAATTTTTACTGGCGGATGTTCTTCTGCTTCATTAGAGGAGTCTCTGTAACAACCGGACTGGCAGGTTCCGGAGTTGCACGCCATTTTTGGCGAGAAAGAAAAATCTATTGGATAGCCAATTGCTATTGTAATACAGTTCTACGTTGGGCCGCTTTTGGTCCTGCATAGTAAGAACGTAAAATATGACGGGCTAGCCAGTTTTCGGACTGGTTATTGAAAAATAACAAGCATTTGTAAAGTCATTGAAAAATAATTGCTATTTTGCTGCAAAACGGAAAGTCTCATCTGCATAATATACTAGAGATTGGAACACCTGTATATGAACTTACAGCATATTATGTTGGAACTCAAGCACATTATGAATTTCCAGCATGTTATGATGGAAGTTCACATGTAAAAAAATCGAACTCCAGCATATTATGCTGGAATATTTTCGGATATTGAATAATATTTTTATTCAGATTTATCTTTACATAAAAGTGATTAAAATTCGATTATTTTTGAAACTGTGGCTATTTTTCAATTACCACTTGTAAATCTGGCTATTTTTAAATTTCACCCGGTAAGAGCTTTAAAGATGGGCTCTCCTAGGATTTTTTGTTTTTTATTTTTTAAGTTACACACTTTAGTAAAAATTTAACGAGGCGTCCTATTTGATCTATCATTTATCCAATTTATTTTTAAAAGAATTATTAATATCCAATATTTGGCAACTTTATATACGTTTTCTTCTCTATTGATGCTTCTTCTCTGCTATGGGTTTCTTCTTTTATGTCGTTGCATAACATAAAAGAGCAAATTGATACAAGCTATCGAAATTAAAGGAAAAGCTAAGTATCCTAAAGAGCAAATTAAAAGAATTGCTCTTGAACAGACGACTTAGAGAGAGAAACGATTCAGAGATTTTAGAGAGAGAGAGAGATTTCACTGAGAATCAATTGCAATTGAATGAGCATTACAACAGCCTTGATCTCAGCTAGTATCAATTTCAGCAAATACACATATATACTTGACTTCTGCAGCAACAAAAAAGGAACGGAAAAAAAAAAAGCACAACTTTTTGCAAGAAAGATAAAATTTTCGGAATAATGGGACAGTACGAGAGCAAAAGAATAATAGAGTGGAGGAGAAACAGAGAGAGGCAAAAAGGTATATAGAAAGCAATGATAATATAGGGCTAAAGCAAATCAATTTCAGCATAGAGTTTGACAATTTCAGCAAATACACACAGATATATAATTGACTTCTGAAGCCCACAAAAAAGAAGAAGCAACTTTCAGAAAGACAAAACAAAACTTTCAACAACCGGAGAATAAACCAAGCGAAAGAATCATAGGAGAAGAAACAGAAAAAGGGGGGAAAAGCAAGGAAGGCGTACCAAAGACACTATGCAGTTGCGCAAGGAGGGGCAGAAAATGTTGGCGAGTGGCGTGACTTAGAGAGTAGACCTAAGGGCGAGTAGCGAACCAATCTTTGCTTTGTTATACAGTCGCTTCCACACTCAACTGAATATTAGTGTAACTTTAAGGGGTCGTTTGGTTCTAAACAAGTTGTAATATGAATTAGTAATATATAGATTATTTATTAGGAGTTTGGTTCGTTGCATTAAAATTAAATAAAAACTATTATGAAAAAATTTTTGTTAATATATTAAAATTAAAAATCAATGAATTTACAATTATTCCGCTGGATACTTGACTTTCATTAGCTTCTAATAAAAAGATAAGGATAATTTTATCCTTTTTTTTTTTATCCATTTATAAATTATATATGAATTGGTTATTTCACGTTGGTGGTATAAGATAATATATCAATTGGTGGATTAGTTATACCTGATTCAAAATCTAAACCAAACATCGGAAAAAGTTACCAAAATTATATACCATGACTATATTTCTTATTGTAGCACCTCGATTTTTTTTTTTTTTTTTTTTTTTTACAATTCGAGCTCATTTAGAGGCAAATAGATTTTAAATTCTTGTTTTGCGATCCAAATATTGCTTAATGATAAAATTATTTACCCGTAAAATAGTACAATTGAATTTGTGACGTGGTTTATAATTAAATTGATCCAAAAATGTAAAATAACTAAGAACATAAAAGATTAATTAAGAAAACTTGAAAAAAATACAAGTCTGAGTGTGAAGTGAGCTTCTTTGGAAGCAGAAACAAGAACAAAGTATAGAGCAGAAAGAATATTAATAAAACAAGAGTAAGTTTAGTCTTTTTTGTATACAAGTATTTCGTGCTTACAGTGAGTGGCACACCTCCTTTTTCCCGAGGTATAGGGGGTTTTTCTAATTAAGGTGATATTATTCGGAATGAGATTATTTATTTAATTAGAGTCGCCACTTGGAATAATTATTACGGTGTCCCAAGTCACCGGTTTATTTTAAAATCCCAAATCGAGGAAATTGACTCTATTTTATGGTCAGCAAACAGAGAAAACCGGATAAGGAATTTTGGTCAAATTGGGAGAAGGTGTGAGGCACTCCCGAGTTTCGTGATTTTAGCACGGTCGCTTAACAATTAATATTTGGCTTAATTATCTGAATTATTACATGTTTAAAACCTTTTATGCGTTACCGCTTCTATACCGCTTTCAATTTTAGCCACTTATGAAATTTATTTGAACAAGTCGCGATGTCGCGCACTCATTGTTTTTGTACACATTGCAAATCATGTACGTGAAACACACCTGCGATTTACACATGTGTATTTTATTATTAGGTCAAGTCGCGTGAATGCACACTCGAATTAGGGTTTACGTATCATGATTATGACACGGGGATCATACCCATAGTCACGATAATTTATTAGTAATCGCGCCTAAAGCAAGCTAAGATATTGGAAAGTTGTTTATTCTAATTTTGAGGTCATTGTGCAGCTAGTGGTTAAACAAAGGTCTTATGGGTCATGTTTGATTTTACCACTCACGTAAACTTCCAATAGCAAAAGGTTAAGAACGCTCATCCAGAAGAGCACACACGATCTTCTTCATCTTTTTCTGTTGCCTCACCATAGCCATGTAAGTATCTTTCATCATTCAATCCATTAACCCCCTAAGATACCTCAAAACAACTTGAAAAAGCTTTGTTTTCAGCCTAAAATACACCCATGTAAGGATGGGTGTATTTTGAAAAAAACTTTGTTTTTCTGTTGCCTCACCATATCCATGTAAGGATCCTTCATCATTCATTCCATTAACCCCCTAAGATACCTCAAAACAACTTGAAAAAAGCTTTGTTTTCAGCCTAAACAGCAGCTGAAAAGTGCTGCAAACTCCATCATGAAACAACACCAAAATAACAATAAAATTCCAACAAAAAAAACTCCACAGAAACTGGTTGAAAATATGCCTAACCACACCTCAAAACAGCCCTTCTTTTTGACATAAAACAGCAACATTAAAAGGGGATATCTTACAAATGGCGAGAGCAAGGGATTAATAAATAATTATACATAAGATTAAACCAGATCATGAATTACAAGAGTTTACTAATACAAATTCAAACTTATGCTTCAACCCTGTTAAGCCTCGATGAAGGCAAGTTCCCTTAGCCGTAAACTTTCTTTTTTTGAAACCAAATCCCTAATTTACAAGGCTTTATAGCCACTGGCTAATTTCGCAAATCTTATCACTACATATGTAAATCAAACGGATAGCAACGGGTTAGAACCTTCTTGCCTATATTTGGTTCATTTTTGAACATGGACTATCATTTTCAGAACATCATCACCATTCAATAAATTTCCACGCAAATCCTAAAATGACTTCAGCTTATGAATTCGGTTTAAAGCAAAGAAACAAAGCCGATGATGAACACAGAAGGAAAATCATAAACAGATATAGTATTTAGACATTAGGGACAGATGAAATCAGGCACGGTCGGAGTATTAATAGTCCAAATCTTCATGTATATACTCAAAAGAGGATTGTAAATGAAAATAACATACCTAATAGCAGGAAAACAACTGAAGATGACCAAAATAAAGGTCTAAAATGAGGAATGGAGCTCAGCTACTGAACAATCAACAACTTCTAGACTTGCAAACCCAGAAACAAATAAAGAACTCTCTCAAATCAACCAAAAAAACAACTCCAGCCCTTTTGAATCATTTCCACTGTAAATCAATTGAAATCCATTGTTTTTCTTTTTGTTTTCAGATCTCTTTTTTTAATTTTCGAATTTTGGATCTGTTTCTTCAACTATTTCATCTGTGTGCTCGTGAAGAGTGTGAGTGCATAGGCATGAGTGAAAGAGTGAAGAAGGAGAGGGGAGCAGTGTAACGACTCGGCCGATCGTTTTGAGAGTTATAGCCCTGATCCTCTGTTTACTGCTTCCCCCATATCTCTTCCTGCTTATATCACTTGCCGAGAGATTTTGTATTTGGTTTTGGAGTGTTTTGGGACTCTTAGTCCCTAAACGGAGCTTAAACCTTAGGATTTTGACCGTAGTCGGAACTATGTGAAGACGACTTCGAAATGGAGTTTCGTCGGTTCCGTTGGCTCCGTTTGGTGATTTTGGACTTAGGAGCGTGTGCGGACTGTGTTTTGGAGGTCTGTAGCTTATTTAGGCTTGAAATGGCGAAAGTCGAATTTTTGAAGATTTTGACCGGTAGTGGACTTTTTGATATCGGGGTTCCGGAAATTGGAGTAGGTCCGTAATGATGAATATGACTTGTGTGCAAAGTTTGAGGTCAATCGGACGTGGTTTGATAGGTTTCGACATCGATTGTAGAAATTTGAAGTTTCAAGTTCTTTAAGTTTGAATTGGAGGGTGATTCGTGATCTTAGCATTGTTTGATGTGATTTGAGGGCCTTAGTATGGTGTTTTAGGACTTGTTGGTACATTTGGCTGAGGTCCCGGGGGCCTCGGGTTGATTTCAGATGGTTACCAGATCATTTGGAGTTGTGTTGGAATGGCTGAAGCTTGCTGCACCTGGTGTAATCGCACATGCGTACTTTGGGCCGCAGGTGCGGCGCTGTAGAAGCGGCCATTAAGCCGTAGAAGCAATTATGGGCCTGCCCAGCTGGGATCGCAGGTGCGGCCAGAGTTCCGCAGAAGCGGACCCGCAGGAGCGGTAGAGGAGCGCAGAAGCGGGCGCGCAGAAGCAGCCCTTGTTCGCAGAAGCGAACCTTGAGGACTTAAGTGAAGTCCGCACCTACAATGATTTTTCCACAGGTGCGGAACCGGACATGCGGTTATACCCTCGCAGAAGCGAAATCGCTGAGCAGAAAAGGGGAAATTACGAGGGTTTGATCTCATTTTCAATTTTGGGACTTTGGGAGCTCGAATTGGGTGATTATTTGAGGGATTTTCATAGGAAGCTTTAGGGTAACGATTCTTAACTCCTTTATGGTTATATTCCACTAATAGATGATTGATTTCATCATTTAATTTTGGATTTGGGTTGAAAATTTGGGGAAAATATGAGGAAGTTCTTCAACCAAGATTTTGGGTTTTGATTGAGCTTTTGAATTCGGATTTGGGTAATTTTGGTACGAGTGAACTCGTGAATGAATGGGTGTTCATATTTTGTAGCTTTGATTTCATTAACTAGATTAGTTTCTTATAGTTATATTTATGATATGTAATCTATTTTGGCTAGATTTGGGGTCATTCGGAGTCGGATATTCGCGGAAAAGGCATTGTTACGGATTGATTTAAGCTTAGTTCGAGGTAAGTGGCTTGGCTAACCTTGTCTTAGGATTTGGTGTTGTTATGATATGTGAGCGTCGTGTACACGAGGTGATGAGTGCGTACACGGGCTATTTGTTGAAAACCTGATTTTTACTGAGTAATAGCATGTTTTCATCTTATGTGAGTATACTAGCATGTGTAGTTATCCTGTTAGCCTAGAATAACATGTTTACGTGTCTTAATTGCTTATCTGAACTCTTTGTAGCATGTTTAGTGAATCCTGCTTCCTTCTTGACTTGTACTTAGTCAAAATTGTAGGTTTTCTTGCTGTAACTGTTATCTTCATTTATTTGAGCTACATATTCACTTTGGGACTACGGGACGGTATACCGAGAGATCCCCCTGCACATTTACTTTTGAGACAACGAGTCGGTTCCTCAGGAGTTCTCCCTGCACATTTACTTTGAGACTACGAGGCGGTTCATCGGGAGTGTCCATGTATGTTTACTTTTGATATTACAAGGAGGTACCTCGGGAGATCTCTTGGACATTTATTTTGGGACTACGAGGGTATCTCGGGAGATCCCCTGCTATTTATCCCTATGTACTGTATTACTCTCATTACTGTGTTTTCCTTTGTTTTATTCTAGTCTTTTATTATACCGTACATTTTCCTGCTTCATTTATTATAGACCAGTGGGCCTGACCTGATCTCGTCACTACTTGATCGAGGTTAGTCTTGGCATTTACTGGGTACCATTGTGGTGTACTCATGCTACTCTTCTGCACATGTTTTCGTGTGCAGATCCAGGTACATCATTCCAGCCTCGCTATTAGTTGTGCACCTGTTGCGGTTACGGAGACTTCA